CAGCACCAAATAAACTGAGCAGGATGACAAAAGTCTGTGACTTAAGACTGGCGTAGTAGAGGCAAGAGGACGTGGAGTTTAGGAGTTGAAGGTCATCCTTATCTACACAATGAGTTCAAAGGCCAGCCTGGGCTACAAGAAGCCTATGCCCCTTATATGCACACACACACACACACACACACACACACGCACGCGCATGCATGCACTGGTGGCTTTGTAAGAGGAAGAAGACACAGAGGGAAGATGACAGTGTCAGAGGCTGGCACAATGCAGCCAGAAACCAAGCTCAGCTGACATCTGGAAGAGGCGTGTTTGTCTTACAGGTTCCAGAGGGAGCCTGGCCTTGTGGCACCTTTGTCTTGGGCCCCCAGCCTCTGTAACAGAGTCAAGAGGTTTCTGAAGTGGTTTCCAACTCCATGCTTTATGAAGCTCTCTTGGTTCAGCCTGGGGAAACTGAGGCAGCACTGGTCTCCCATTCTCTCCCAGGGGACTCCTTCAGGTGCAGCTCTCTGTGGATTCAGGAGATGCCCAGCATGTTTGCCCAGACACTAAGGAGATTTTGCAAGGCTGTGGCCATCCGGGTCACATGTTATTTGACATTTATTCTTCCTTCTTTTTCCCTGAGGTGCGCCCCTTCCCCAGGACCCTTCAGCTCCTGAGACTCAGACTTTGCTGCAGTTCCTCTTCTCGTAGACTCCAGGCAGGGCCTAGAGATGTCAATGGAATACAGCACAAGGTGACAGATGCCACTTCTAACAGGAGGCTACAAAGAAGCTGTGTCTTCCACGACTCTTCCCTTTCCCATCGTTTCTCTCTTGCTTGACTTGAAGGGACCCCATTGCTTCTGGACAGAGAGGCCCAGGGAAGAGGGAGCTGATGTCTCCAGGCCACTGCCAGAGGACAGCAAGGACCTGAGTCCTCAGGTCAGAGTTTGAGAAGAGACATTCCCCTAGCAGGCTTGCAATGACAGCAGGCTGAGTCAGTATCTCCATTCGTTGCAGCTGTGGGAGTACTAAGCCACGGACATGCAGCCACGCAGAGCAGACTCTGCTCCTTCATGCAAAGGATTGTTATGTAACCATGGTGAACTAGGTTGCTATCCACTTCCTCCCCGCTAACTCTTGCTTCGTGGAAGTAGTAATACTATAAAGTTGTCCCAGGTCAACTCCTGCCTTGGGAACTTGTCCCCACTGCCAACTTCTAGTTACCTGAATATTCTAACATAGAAATGAAATATGGCCTGCCTGCCTTCCTTTCTTTCCTTTGTAAACACAGGATAAACCTTTTTCTTTTTAAAAAAGATTTCTTTATTTTATGTACGTGCGTGCTCTACTTGCATGTATGTCTGCATAACAGAAGAGGGCATCAGATCCCATTATAAATCATTGTGAGCCACCGTGTGGTTGCTGGGAATTGATCTCAGGACTTCGGGAAGAGCAGCCAGTGCTCTTAACCACTGAGCCATCTCAACTGCCCCCTTCCTTCCTTCCTTTGTGTGTGTGCATGTGCACCTGTGGGTGGTGGGCATAGGTTGACTTAACTACTGGCAATGTTATGTATTTTTAATTATTACTGTACCTGGGTGTGGTGGTGCATACCCTTTCTCCTTTTCTTCTTCCTTTCTTCCTTTTTTTCTTTCTTTTTCTTTTGGTATTTTTGAGATAGGGTCTCACTATATATCTCTGGCTGTCCTAAAACTCACTATATAGACCAGGCTGGCCTTGAACTCACAGAGATCCACCTGCCTCTGCCTCTTGAGTGCTGGGTTTAAAGGCATGTACCATGATGTCCCACCGATGGTGGGGGTGTATACCTTTAATTCCAGTACTTGGGAGGCCGAGGCAGGCAGATAGATCTCTGTGGGTTCAGGTCCAACCTGGTCTACATAAGAGTGTTTCAGACTAACCAGGACAACTCCGTGAACACAGTTCTCTCCTTCCACCTTTACGTGGTCTCCAGGAACCACACTCAGGTGGCCGGGCCTGTGTGGCAGGCATATTTACCTGCTTTAATGTTTGAGATAAGGTCTCTCAGTGAGCCTGGCTTTTACATGGGTACTGGGACCCAAACTCAAGTCCTCACGCTTTCAAGGCAGGCATTTCACTGACTGAGATACCACTCTAGCCCTGGCCTTGTTATTTTGCAGACAGGGTCTCATATAGCCTGGGTTGGCCTTGAACTTGGTATGTAGCTGACCATGGCCTTGAGCTCCCGACCCTGCCATCTCAGCCTCAAGGTGCTGGTATCACAGGTGTGCAACACAAGGCCCAGCAAAAGCATTGAGTCCTTGCTAGCAACAGCCACCCCTAAAGCACAGGGAGGCCAGAGGAGGACATGACGTGCCCTGTTCTAAAACTCTGTCATAGTCTATAAGGCAGCGGTTCTCAGCCTGTGGGTCATGGCACCTCGGGGTGGAACAACCCTTTCATGGGGTCACAGATCAGATATCCTGCAATCAGATATTTATATTACAATTCATAACAGTAGAAAAATTACAGTTATGACAGAGCAATGAAATAATTTTTTTTGGAAACAGGGTTTCTCTGTGTAGCCCTGACTGTCCTGGAACACCCTCTGTAGACCAGGCTGGCCTGGAACTCAAAGATCCATCCATCTCTGCCTCCCAAGTGCTGGGATTAGAGGCATGCGCCACCATACTGACGGCAATGGAATAATTTTATGGTTGGGGTCCCCACAACATGAGAAACTGTATAAAGGATCACAGTATTAAGAATGCCGAGACCACTGTCATAAGTCAGGGTCTCTCATTGAACCCAAAGTTGGGATTTTGGTTTTGATGTTTTTTTCTTGGCTAAGCTGGTAGCCAGTAGGTTCTAGGGAGCCCTATGTCTCCATCTCTCAGCCCTGGGGGAACAGGTGCAGGGAGCCGTGCTCAGCTCTGTGAATAGCTGAGGATTCAGCTTCAGGTCCTCACAGTTGCACAACCAAGCATCTCTCTAGCCCCAGCCCCCCACATTTCTTTTTATTATTACTAGAACTAAGGCTGGATGGCTTCTGGACACCCCAAAGTGGAGTAGGGCCAGAAATATGGAAAGAAATGTTGCATTGAGTTGCTTTCCATTTGGGGCTCAAATCAAAGGTTTAAGGATTGGGTCAAGTGAGTGCTGGGCTCCTCCGCCTGACAGACACAGAGCACACACATGGTGGCACAGAGGTATGGAGAGCGCTCAGAGCATCCTTCATCCCTGCCCCTTAATGGAACCGAGAACACAGAAACCCAGAGGATGACACTCATGTCCTCTCCGGTTCCACTCTGGAAAACTGACTATAACCAAAGAAGATGGGCAGAACTTGAAACTGCCATCCTGGAGCGCTGTCGGAACTTCAGCTCTCCTAGGACCTCAGGGGCCACCTGCCTCAGCCGCTCCTCAAGTCTTTGCCTGATTCAAAGGGCATTTCCAGGAGATAGGTCATGTGATGCACACAGCAAGGAGCCCGAGTCCCCCCAGTAGGGATGCTTGCTGAGTCTTCTTTGCTAATAATAATTCACGGCCACACAATTAATCAGTGAGCACATCCCAGGGGCTCATCCAGAGGGACAGTTTGGACTGAGCTCCTACGTAGACTTGCACTGACTTCAAATTTCAAATAGACATTGGCCAGCCCAAATTGGTACTCTCCAACCTCCAGCTTTCTCAAAGGGCTCGCTCGCTCGCTCTTCTGGCTTAGACAATTCACCACACACACACCCGGCTACGGTGGCCACATGACAACTTCACCAGGCAGACACGGGGTTGGCACGGCTGGGGATGGAACTAGCCAGTCTGAAGACAGCCATCCAATCCATGAATGCCGGGAGTGGATTGGAAACACGTGGGGATGGAACTCAGATGTGCTGTTGCCCCAGGCAGTCAGAAAGGAGAGAGTAGCTGAAACGCACGTGCTTGTCAGACACACAAAACATACACAGTGATGAACGGTGGTAACATTGAAGCAGAGAGAGCAATAAAGACTGCCTATTCACGCTCCGGAGGAGGAGGCCAGAGGAATCAAGGCCTTCATGGCTCACTTCCTTGGCCTCGGAGGTTGTGAAGGACATTATGGAGAACCGTGTAAGCCCCTTCAATCCCTTCACCTTCCCACCCTCCCCCCTCTATTTCCTGGGAAGATGGGACCATTATACACTTCACACTCCAAGTCAGAGCTTTTGAAACCAGCGAGGCCGAGAAAGAAAAGTGGTGGCATCCTTCGAGCCTGTCTGTCCCCTTGAACCTGGGACACAGTCTTGGGAGACAGGAGCAATGAGCTTCAGAGGAAGCAAGCTCTTCTGACATCCCTTGGTGTTTACACTCCGGCTGCATTCTTGGGGCCTGTATCATGTTGGCTTCCTGGCTGACTTCAGACTCTAAAATAAAACCACTCTTTCACCTGACTGCTCGCAGGGACATCTAGGGTGGGGGAGGGCTGTCTGGGGCCAGAGGTCCACCCACCAGGCCGATGAATCAGGTGTGAAGCTAGCTCCAGCATGTGTACTCCCTAGCCGTCTCGCTGGCCTCCCAGCTGCCTGTCATGTCCTCCCCTCCCGCCCTTATTTGGAGCCCCTGACAGCTGAGCTGCAAGAAGGGGGAGCTGGGTGTAGGCCAGCCGTCACCCTCTGCTTCCCTGCATGGGTCCTGTTGCCAGGGAGAAAGAATCCTGAGGCGCGCGCACGGGAAGATAACCAAGGACTCTTTTCTGCTCTTCTCACACCTTTGAAGTGGGAGCCTCTTGAGGCAAATCAGCAAGAATGTGGCTCTTGCAGCTGAGGGTCTGGGGGTGGGGGGGCATTGGAACTGCTCAAGGCGAAGGGGCTGTGACCAGCTCTGCTGAACTGATAACTTTAAAAGGGCATCTTCTGCTAGCTCCTCACTCTCCATCGCTTTATCGCTGCAAGTGACAGAATGGGGAGGGTTCCAGCCTTCCTGCGTTCTCAGAGAGCTGGGGGGCTATAAAAACGGGAGGCACTGGGCAGCTGGGAGACAGTGACGGGCAAAGGCTGAGAGAGAGAAGCCAGAGAGGAGTGAGCAGAAGCGACAAGCATCAGATCGTGCGACCCACAGCAGCATGGGCTCCTTCTCCATCACCATGGGCTTCTTCCTCTTTCTTGCCTTTTGGCTTCCAGGCCATATTGGAGCAAACCCTGTGTACAGTGCAGTATCCAACACAGATCTGATGGATTTCAAGGTAGGGTCAGGAAGTGGGAAATAGACTGGGTCTCTTTGGTACCGAGTCCATTCCTCTGAGACATACCCTTTCCCTGTGTTTGTTTTGTCCTTTATAAAGAACCTGCTAGACCATCTGGAAGAGAAGATGCCATTAGAAGATGAGGTCGTGCCTCCACAGACCCCGAGTGAGCAGAACGATGAAGCAGGGGCTGCGCTTAGCTCTCTCCCTGAGATACCTCCCTGGACAGGGGAGGTCAACCCACCTCAGAGAGATGGGAGTACCCTCGGGCGCAGTCCCTGGGACCCCTCCGATAGAGCTGCTCTCTTGAAAAGCAAACTGAGGGCTCTGCTCGCTGCCCCTCGGAGCCTACGGAGGTCCAGCTGCTTTGGGGGTAGGATCGACAGGATTGGAGCCCAGAGCGGACTAGGATGCAACAGCTTCCGGGTAAGAGGAGCTGTGGATGGAGATGAGATGGGGGTCGGGTGGGGTTGGCAAACTATGATCTTGCTAAGGCTCAAACCTTGCCAAGGGATACTAGCAGGGAGCATCTCTGGTAGCCGAGACCAGTGCCAGTGTTGATTCCTTCTGAGAGTTCTGCCCCACCATGGTGGACGCTCCAGAAGTTTCAAGACAATACCACAGCTGCTACAGTTGCTGAGCCACAAGCCGGGAAATCAGAACACAAGGCCAAGCACCTTTGCATTGCCGACTGACCGGTAGCTAGTGTTCTTCCCACAGCTGGAGGAGCCTGGCGGATTTAAACAGAATGGACTAAGACTTGTTTGCCAGTTTATGACATTGTGGCTGGTGGGAAAAAGCTCGTCACTGTCAAGCTGAACGGTTTAGCATGGTAAGCCAGATCATCAGACCAACATATTTTTCTCTTTGTAGTACCGAAGATAATAGCCAGGGAGAAAAACCAGCCAGATTCGCTGGGGCAGAGTGCAGAAGACCCTAAGCCCCTGCGGTGTGTCTGTCACGCAGTTTGGTCTCATTGTCACTGAGGTGTGGCGAGCACCCTGCTGGAGCGGCTACTTCCTGTCTTCATCCTTCACGACTGATGCTAAATGTAGATCAGTGGTTCCAGGGGGGGGGCCTTCCCCCTCCCACCCCGCGTATTAAGGTAGAGCCTCACCCCTTTCAGGAAAGCAGCTGGAAAAAAAATTTTTTTTTGAATAAACTTCAGCACCAAGGACAGAAGCTGAGGTCTGGGTGCTTTCTTTCCCGTCTGTCCCCAGTCCCTAGTTTCCCCCTACCCTGTCCTGTCATCTCTCCCTCCCTGACTCTTCTTGGTGAGTTGGGGGGGGGGGGACCTCAAGACGCAGTGCTCACTGTGCTCGGCCTCACTCTAGCCCAGTCACAGGAGGCAGAAAAGGCTGCCCAGACTGAAGGTCATTTATTTTCAATTCCTGAAAAAGAACACACACTCGCCTTTTCCTGATGACACTTGTGCTCAGGGGACTTTTCCTGCATCCATCTCACGTTTTGGTTGCAGCCTGGGTGGTTTTAGGGAGCACGGGGAGGACCAGGGACTGCTCAGATCTTCCCTGAGCACGAGCTGCTGCAGCCCCATGAACTACACTTTCAGTTCAGGTGAGAGTCGAGTGGAGGGTGGATTGCACAGCTGAGCGCAGTGAAGGATGGGTTACAGGTTCAAATGCTTTGTGAACTACCACACCGGGGCATCTCTGCCCATCATCTGTGTCCATCAGTGCCAGAGATCAAACTCGGAGCCAAATGCATTTATAAAACAGCCATGGCCTCCCTACCCCAGGACTGTGGCGCTTGGATCGTACACTGCACGCAGGGATAGCCACCAGGAGACAGCTTGTTAATTTACTCATTTTTGGTCTATGTAGCCTTGGCTGGCCTCAAACTCAGGGAGCTCTGCTTGCCTCTGCCTGGCTGTACTAGGACAGGACACCAGGTTTCTTTTCAACAAGGAAGGACTGTTATTTTCTCACCCGTTTCCCTGGGCACACACCTCAGATTCCCACACTGACACCCCCTTCACCCACACACTCACCTCCAACCCGGGATGCCACCCTCCGGTGCTCCCTGCATCCTACCCATTCAAGGCTAAGTGGGGACACTGCTTCTTCCCTGAAGTCCCAGGAAACAAGTGACATCACAGGTGCACCTTCTAACTCCAACAGGACATAGTTTGCTGTGTGTGTGGCCCTGTGCTTGTGTCCCAATCCGTGCTGGGCACACTGTACAGAAATGGGGAGAGGAAGGCAGTAGTAAGTGCATACGTGGGGGGGGGGGCAGAAGCAAACAGTGAGGGGCTGCAGGGGAAGGAAGAACTCCAGCCGCTCCCAACCAAAACGATCTGGGCCCAGTTCGGAGGTGTGCACACCTTTAATCCCAGCACTCTGGAGGTGAGTTCAAGGCCAGCCTGGTCTACAAACTGAGTTCCAGGACAGCCAGGGCTGTTACACAAAGAAACACCATCTCAGAAAAATCAACTAACCCAACAAGTAAACAGAATTTAAAAAAAAAAAAAAAAAAAAACACCTCTTATCTGGATCTCAAATCAGTAGATGAAAAACAACAACAAACCAACCAACTAACAAGAAACAGTCGGTGGGGAACAACTTACAAGAACCAGCGTGAGACAGGCAGGGGAAAGCATCAGCCTGCACTTGGGAGTCCCAGTGCTAGGGAAAAGGAATGGGCTGCTGGGCGTGCTCTCCAGTGTTATGGTAACACAGGGTTGCCACATAGGTACAAAGTGGAAAGGACACAAAGGAACACATAGGTACAAAGTGCCCCTAGGACCTGGTGAAAGCCGAGGCAGGAGGGGCCTGGTGGGCGCTGTCTGTGACTGGAGGCAATGACAGCACGGCCACGGCCACGGCGAGTGGTATTTCTAGTAAAATAAGAGACAAGTGGACAAAGAGCAGACAGATGTGGGAACGTGCGCATGTGTACATGCATTTGGACACACACACACACACACATACACACACACGAGAGTGGTGAGGGCTTCCCCTCTTCCAGCTCCTGGCTGTGGGCTGAGTCCTAAAGCAGGCAGTAAGAACAGACTGTCGGCTCTTGCCCTGGTGTGCTGGCAGAGAGAGAAGACCGACAGAGCAAAGGGCCAGTGTTCACAGGTGAATCAAACCACAGTAGTGCCAGGTGCCAGGGAAGAGCCTCGACAGGTACGGGAACAGGAAGTTACAGGGTGGGGCCAGCAGATTACCTTCTGGCTGGGCACGATGGCACGTGTCCCTAAACCCACACTTGGAAAGTAGAGGACAGCTCATCCTTCGTGACAGTGAGTCTGAGGCTAGGCTGGGTTACACAGACTCTGTCTCACAAAGAGACTGCCTTCCAGCACCCTAACTCTTCCCTACCTGAAAGGGGGAGGGAAAACGAAAGCCTAGGAAGAAAGCGTGGTGGAGACAAGGTCTATGGAGAAGGTGCAGACATTTTATTCTGACTTCGTAAAGTTACCACAGAACTTCCTCCTTCCAAAGGGTCAAATAAAAAATAGAGTTTTACAAATTAAAAAAGATACAGTTCATCTCCACAGTGGACCCAGCTAATGTTACCACATAAACAGTGCAAACAGAAAGGCGGAATGCAACTGGACAATCACCGAGGTCCATCGGAGCCAGGGCACCACTGTGTGTCAACACTGCGGGGCTGGCTTTTCCGGAAGCTTTCTTGTCACCAAGGTCTGCATCAAACTGTCACACGGCTGGCTGAATCAAGCTAACGTCCATTCCAGCTGGAACTGCTTAACCAAGGTCACATGCAGACAGCTCATACAACACCAAGCTCCCACAGCAGGACCAGAGAGCCACGCAATGCCCAGGTGCAGAAGGCAGGAAAACTGCCTCGATCCAACCTCAGGCGGTACTTCAGGGGTCCCTCCGTGGAGCTGTTGTGACAAGGTGCTGTGGCACTGGGGGAGGGGGGGCGCTGAAATGTGGCAGGTGAGATACTGTACCACCGGTTCCAAGGGGCAGCTGTGGGGGAGGGGTCCAAGGCTTACAGCTCTAGTTCACGGGTGGAGAAGCTGTTGTCTTTGGGCTTTTCTGGATAGGCAGGTTGTGGGGAGGGACACAGAGGCTGAGTGTCCTAGAGGGGCAAAGGGGCAGAGGGGCATGGGCTCCAGCTCCAGCGTAGATGTATCCGCACCGTCTATTCTGGGCTACACTGGAGGTGACTCATCACACACGCGGGATGGACAGAATGCAGTGGGTCACCAGGGCTGTCTCGGAGGCAAGTTGTGGACTCAGGTCCTCTGCAGGCTGCTATTCTGCAAACCCATAGGCTGGGAAGACGATTCTGTAGTGTGTCAAGCTTTTCTCTTGGTGTGGGCAACTGGTTTCCTTCCCGATGGAGGATACAGTAGGGCAGACACTCAAGTCAGTTGTAAAATGAAGCTGCAGCTGGGCCAGATAGATCCCTGCTTAGAAATATCCCAGCTAGCCGGGCGATGGTGGCGCACGCCTTTAGTCCCAGCACTTGGGAGGCAGAGGCAGGCGGATCTCTGTGAGTTCGAGACCCGCCTGGCCTACAGAGCTAGTGCCAGGACAGGCTCCAAAGCCACAGAGGAACCCTGTCTCAAAAAACCAAAGAAGAGAAAAAACAGTATTTAATGCAAATGAAAATCCCCTGGTATCCAAGGACAGCCACCACAGGGGCCCGAGGGTGCAGTAAAGTGAGTTCTGATGTTCCCTGAGGTACCACCCAGAGAGGACCAGCAGCTGTGAGGCACAAGGGGCAGGAGCATCCACTCCCTCCCCAGGCCCAAGCCCAGCAGCTGCAAAAGCTCCTCTCCAAGTCCTCAGGAAGAGGGCTAAGCAGGGAGTGGCGTGGGAAGCCAGGAGTGAGCAGTGACCAAGAGCGGAGCCACCAGCTTCCTCTTAAGGCTGTACCTTTGATTGACCCTGGCTCAGGGACGCCTGTTTGCCAGCTTGTAGAGCTATTCCAAATCCTCTAGGGCTTGGGGTATCGGTTCTGTCGAGGGGGTTCCTCAATTTTGGTTAACTTTGGGAATGAGTCCAAGACACAGCTGGGGCTGCACCACCAGAAAGACAAAGATGAAGGCTTGGAAAGTCCAGTGGCTGGGGGAGGAACGGACTGAGAGTGGACAGAGAGCATGGTACTGGAAGACCGGGTGTAACTGTTGCTGGGACTACTGAATGCCTACAGCGAAGGGAGAAGGCGCTGTCCCCATGATGGGATTTAACGGTTCAAAGGCTGTTAGCTAGGGTTTTAGTGCTTCATGGGTCTGATCAGAACTGATTCTAAGGAGACCAAGCCACAGGGCGAGCACATGCCCACTCCCAGGAAACAGAATGAGAAGAAAGGCCAAAGGAGAGGCAGAGAGCTCTAGAGGATCTGAGGTCCCGGGCTTGATCCTATGCTTCCCTGACATTGGGAACCTTTCTCAGGCCCAATTCCTGAACTCAGTAATGAACATGATATGCAAATAACACCCCCGATGTTTGCCTCTGCCCACCCTTCCTAGAAGGGTCTGGGCAACAGCTGGGTTCTCTGAGAAACAGCAACAGAGAAGCACCAAGTGCCTACCCAGGACCCAGCCTGACTTCTCCCTGATGTCTCTCCACGGGAGCCTGGGGAAGGAGAAACGGAAAATACTTGCTGAGAAGTTAGTAAAACCCCAACTTTCTGCTCAACACATCACTGAAACCTCTGACCCCAGTCTTCCAGGACTCCAGGCAAGTGGGTGACCGGAAGCCTTCATGCCAGCTATGGGGGCCAGTGTGTGAGCAGGCCACCTGCAGAGGCATCTCTGGGAGAGTGGGCTGGTGGCAGCCAAGCTCAACTGTCAGAGGGTCTGGTAATGCTGCCGAAGCCGGGCCTGCAGGAACTCATACGTCAAGTTGTGTCGAGTGATGATCCCCACAATCTAGGGAAGGAGAACACACGTGAGTCACCAGAGCATACACCCCACATGAGGACATGCGTGAACAGAATGGTCTCTCAATATACCCCAGGATGTAGACACAGAAAGAGAACTGGGGCAGGACAGGGTTAGTGTGTCCATGGCATAGACTTCCTACTCTCAGAAGGCATGGGGACAGATAGAGCTGCACGAAAGGAACCAGTGAGGCCCTGCAAGGGGAGTGAAGTGGGAGCAGAGAAAGAAGGGGCGACTAAAAGGGGACCCTGCCCCTTTGGAAGGGCCACCTGCTTTCTCTCAGCACAGATCTATGTGTGGTCCAGACCTTCTTCTATTGTTTTTGGCTTGGGTGGAGACAGTTTCATTTACAACATAGCCCAGGCTGACTTGAACTTACCATCTTCCTATGTGCTGTCCTGGGATTACAGGTGTATGCTACAATGCCTTGCAGAACTAGCCAGGTTTTATTTTGTATACTTGTTTATAAATAATTCTAGGCACACGCTCTATCGCTGAGCTGCACCCCAATATTTGCCATGTCCTGTCTTAGGGTTTCTATTGCTGTGACAGAACACCATGGCCAAATTGGGGAGGAAAAGTTTATTTTAGCTACATCATTATAGTCCGTCACTGAGCACAGTCAAGACAGGAAGTCACACAGGGTAGGGACTTGGAGGCAGAAACTGATGCAGTGAACATGAGGATTGCTCTTTACTGGCTTGCTCCTCCTGACTCACTCAGCCTGTTCTGTGATAGCACACAGGACCACTAGCCCAGGGAATGCACCATCTACAATGGGCTGGGCCCTCTCACATCAACCACTTATAAAATGTACTACGGTTTTGTCTACAGACCACTATTATGGAGGCATTTTCTCAATTCAGAGTCCCTGTTCCCAAATGATTGTAGCTTTCCTCAAGTCGACATAAAACTGGCTGGCGTATATCCTTAACCAGGGCACATGCCTATAACAGCACACGACAGGCTGTGTCAAGAGGACTGCCTCAAGTTCAAGGCCAGCACGGGATGGAAGGGAAGGATGGAGAGAAGGCAGGTCCCTTAAAGAGGCACCACTTCCTTACAAGGTCATTCTGGTGACATGTACTGAAACTCAATTGGAAGAGGAGGACATGGGCCACACAGCCATGAGGCCTGACTGTCGCACAGGTGGGTGGAGCATTGTAGCTCAATGGTAGAATAACCGCCTAGCATGCCTGAGACAAAACAACAGGCAGCAGAGCCGAGCACCTACGGAAAACCCTCGGTGAGTACCTCTAGGCACAGAGCACCTAGGGAAGGCGACAGTGCAGCGACCTCAGCAGGGCAGGGGCAGGGCCTATTTTTATTTGTTTTCTTATTTTGCTACAATAATGGAACAATAGCTATGTAATTAAAAAAAAATTAAGTTGGGGACTAGAGAGATGGCTCAGCGGTTAAGAGCACTGGCTGCTCTTCCAGAGGACCTGAGTTTAATTCCCAGCAACTATGTGGTGGCTCACAGCCATCTGTAATGAGATCTGGTGCCCTCTTCTGACCTGCAGGCATACAAGCAGGCAGAACACTGTACACATAATAAATAAATAAATAAATAAATAAATAAATAAATAAATAAACACAATCTTTTTAAAAAGAAAAAAAGTTAAGTTGGGCCGACAATCTGGCTCAGAGGGAAAATACGCTCACCACGCAAGCCTGGTGACCAGAGTTCGATTCCCAGCCACTGAAGGTGGAAGGAGAGAACCAGCTCCACAAAGCTGGGCTCACATACACCACAAATACAATTAACTCGGAAAAGAAATGATGGGAGAGCCCACGAGAATAATCACTGGGTGTGCTACTTTTTAAAACCCTCTGCGAATTTCGCCTTAAATTCTATTAATGCTACAGATGTCCCGAAGAGGTAGGAGCAAGGAACACAGACTAGGGGGAGGTAAGAAGCCCTCGAGCTGAGACAAGAGCAGGCAATGGAGGAATGGAAGGTAGATCACAGGGCGCCCCCTGCTGGACTGATGCAACAGACAAGAGACAGGGTGGGTGGACAGAGCAGAGGCAGTCAGGGACCCTGGTCTCCACCCAGATCACTCACCTCTCCCACCGCATTCACCACAGGCAGGTGGCGCAGGCCCATGGTTCTAAACAGGTTGAAAACTTGGGAAACATGGGTGTTGGGGGAGACAGTGAATGGTGAAGGGTTCATATATGGGGTGACATCCTGCAGAAGAGAAAGCAAGAATCACCCACAGCCTAGGATAAGCATGAGCATAGCACGTGGGACAGCCCCGAGGGACAGCCCTCCTCACCACAATCATCCGGGGATTCAGCAATGTGAGATCCAGGTCATGTATGTCCGGATACCGCGGGTAGTCCTCGGCCATCTCCGCATAAGAAAGGCGTGGCTGGCTGGCACTCTGCAATTCCAACCAAGACACACAGCAGCCTTGCAACACAACAGCCGCCAGGAGGGTCACTCTGACAGTCCCTCCCCAGTTCTGCTAGCTAGTGTCTTCCAGTAACAAGAGCCACAGCGGGTGCTAAGGACAGAGACAGCCTGATAGCAAAGCAGGTCCTAACAGATGAGAAAACTGCTAATAGGGGTTGTGGGCTGAAATGTGTCCCCACAGACAGACACAACCTGTAAACCTATCAGCTGTCTTTCTGGAAACAGTTTCTGCTGATGTGCTTACAATGAGTTCACACTGGACTAGGGCGAATTCCAGCATCAGGTGTCCCTACAGAATGGGGAGAGGAAGAGGGAGAGGGAGAGGGAGAGGGAGAGGGAGAGGGAGCCCCGCGCATGCACAGAAGTCAAACTGGAGTGGTGTTTGCAGGCAGCAAGGCCAGGAGTTGACAGCACCAGAGAAACTGGAGGAGGCTGGGAAGGCCCCTCTCCTAATGCCTTCAGAGAGCCGCGCCACACACTCTCAGTCTGGTACTTATGGTCTTGCACTAAGATAAATCCTGCTTCGAGCTACCAGGCTGACGGCAGCTGGATGCAGCGGCTACAGTGGGGTCCCATGGGGTGCTATCACCACCCCTCGATCTCACTGCTGTTGTCACAGGGCAGCAGAGGAGCCACAACACTGGCTGCCTATTGTCCTCAGTGGGCCCCGCTCCCTAACTCCACTCTGCCTTCACCTGGCTCATAGCTGGCTCCACTGCGGGGGAGTCCCAGAATCTATCTGCTCTAGTAGCCAGGCAAAGTACTTCAGGACCCAAGCTCAGTCGCCACTCCAACTTCCTTGCCTCTAAGGTCCCCATGGTTTTCTCTACCCACGCCAACCAGGCTGGTCACCCATACTCCACCCAGGCCTCTGCACCAGGGTAACAGTTCTTCTGTAGGCTTAGTGGACCATAGAGGGGCTCAGGTGGCTACATGGTAGAAACCCCAACTCCCAACATCAGCAGAGTCACTCTGGAAGCCAGGACTCTGGGGGACTTGCTCAGCCTCCTGCTAAAAAGGTGTGAGGGGTATGGACTTGGGTGCCATGGGGACACCCTAAAAACCAAATAAAAGAGAGAAGGTGGCTACAGCAGAGCTGGCGGGGGGGGGGGGGGGGGGGGGCCGGCTTCCC